ATTCAGAAAGCAAATGAGCACAGGAGGTGGCTCTTGAGGAAAGACACAGAAGACACAGCTGGTACATAGAAGAAGCAGTGGCTTCGCTGTGGCATGTTTCTGGAAGTCCCCATGCTGCTGCCTGCCCTTAGGTAACAGAGTTCACGAGAAAATACAGATTTAGAGCCAAGAGCTCTGTGTGTGTCTTAACGTCCCATTTTCTGTCAGAAAATGCCCAACCTAGAATCTTGGGTACACATGAAAGCTACCACCCACAGAGGATCTCTCTCCTTCAGTGTGTGTGTGTGTGTGTGTGTGTGTGTTCTCAAGTATCTGTGTGAGCTTGTGGAGGTCTGACCAGAGGTTGGCATCTGCTTGTCTTCAGCTGTTCTCCAGTTTACTTTCTGAGACAAGGTCTGTCACTGAACCTGGAACTAGCTGCTTCACCTAGACTGACTAGCTTGGCTAGGATTCTGCTGTCTCCATCTTCCAGCACTGAAATTATGGCACATACCACTATATGTAGCTTTTGATGTAGCTGTGGGGATCCAGGCACTTTACTGACTGAGCCATCTCCCCACACCCTCCGGCACATTTCATTGATTCCAATAAATGTCAGGCAGCACAGCAGACTCGTGATGGGTTGCTCTGTGGTCTCAAGTCCAGGGTCTGCTATCATGCAGTCTGTAGCCTCAAATCTCAGTGGTCCTAAATGCTTGCCTTTTTATGGAGAAGACACCCAAAGCAAAAAAAAGCCATCCTGTTCTGGGAAGGGAACCTATCTAAGGCTCAACAGGAAGAGGTCCAGAACAAGCTTCAGTTCCACCCATTCTCCATCCTCAAGATACTGAGTTCTCAAGGTCTTCAGCCCTCAAAGCTTCCTGGGTCACAAACCTAATGGCTGCAGGTAGGTCCCAGCCACCTGCTTGGCCTCCAGGGTAAGATGTCAGGGTAACATGGGTCGGCCACTGAAGTGTAAAGTGGACTCTCGATGGAGGGCAGGTCTGCCCACCAGAGGATGTGTGGCAGTACGTGGAGACATTTTTCTTACAATGCAGGGAGTCAGCCTGGGCCCGGAGGAGCTGCTCCACACACTAGTATACCCAATACACCTCCCACAGCAAGGCCTTCCCCAACTCAGGAAGCTGAGGTAGAAAGATCAAGGGCTAACTTCACTCTCCCTAAGGAATTAAGGGCAGTAGGGCCAAAGCCAGGCATAGTGACACGGAGCTGTGATCCTAGCTAGTCAATAGGATGAGGTAGGGGGATCACAAGTTTGGGGCTACATAGTGAGACCAAGGCCAGCTTGGGAAATGTAATGAGACCCAGTCTAAAAATAAAATGAAAAAGGATCTGGAGGGCTGGAGAGATGTCTCCATAGTTGAGAGAACTTACTTCTCTTCAAGAGGACTCAATTCAGTTTCCAACACTCAAGACAGCTCACAACCACCAATAATGCCAGCTTTAGGAAATCCAACATCTCTTTAGGCCTCTACACATGTGCACACACACAAATTTTAAAAAAATCTTAAAGAAAAAAAAAGAAGGTATATCTTGTTCTGTGGTAGAGCAATCAGGGCATGCCTCAGTGGTGGAGCCCCTGCCTAGAATCCCCCAGTGAGGGGCTGGGGTGTGGCTCAG